TATTGCTTCCTTCCTTTTTCACAATAGAGGAGTCCCACTGCTCTGTTACTAAGCACATGTTGTACACGAGCCAGATAGCCAGCAAGTTAGACAAAACATTAATGTCAAATTCATTAGGCTTAAACATAGGCAAGCACATACACAAACACGTACTATCTCACACACAATCTCCATCCTTTAACTCAAATAAGGAGCCGGATTTTGGGCCAACTTTAAGCAACGCTGCTCCGGCCATTGGCTTTGGGCAACAACTTGTGTTTCTAGTCGTAGTTCCTCGAACTTTTGCGCACGTATCGTGTGTCATAAGCACAAGCGGCTTAAGAGTCCCACGTACATACACAAGCACACACTTACACTTACACACACGCACACACACACACCAATGTAAAGGGCATGGCACAGGGCCCAAGTATTCTGCAGTTGGCAACTTTTGCTGCTTCAGCGATTGTCGTTCGTTATTTTTGTTGCTAGCACAGACCGTAGTCGAGCAACAAATAAAATTATTAACCTCGCTGGTATGTAACATAAATAGGATTAGTGTCTGCAGTAAATGCACAGCAATAGCAACAACAACAACAACAACAACAGCACAAGCACAAACAGCAACAGTCATGCAGCGGCAGTTACATTTGCATGTTGCATACTTCACGGCGCCGCGCTCATATGATAAACGGCAACAGCAGCAGTAATAGCAACAATAATACATATCCACATGAATATACATACAGTAAAAACTGGATATGGCGATTAAGAGGGCGACAATATACATATTTCTTCAATATTTATGATGTGTGTACACATTTTTTTTCGGTAAATCCGAGCAACAAAACAAAATTAAAATGTTTTTATTAATATCTAAGTACTGTGAACAAAATGCAGTCAATAGCTCACTAATTTGTACCTGATACTCAATTCATATGGCCTAGTTCTTAAATCTAACTAGTAAGATGAAGTTCTCGTAGATTAGAAGCAGAACGAAGAGCTTCGTTACTTTAAAATAATTATTAAAATAAAGTGTGCTAATGAAACAAAAGACATGCGTTTTACAGAAGTTGGAAATTGGAAGTTTTAAAATTCAACAAAATGCGAATAATTTACTTTGCTTTGTTGTTGGATTGTCTCTTTTTTGCTAAATTACATTAAAGTACTAATTGAATACAATCCTTTTAAGGAGTTATATTGCAAAACACAAGCCAAGATACACTTATGTTTAAATTCTAAGCAATTGGTATTAAAGCGTGAAAACATTTTTGTTAATAATATTAATATCAGAGTATTTTATGATTGTAATTCATTCAATTTACTAGACAAATATAAACTATTCACTCAACATTTGGACTTCTCCTATTTACAAGAAAAAATATTGCAATCATAGCAGCTCTCAATGAATATTATGTTTCTAACTATACAGACATACTATACACATATTCTTTAGGTAAATGATAAGACCGAGCAAGCACGTTTAGCCTCATACTAATCGGTAGACTATTAGATTACTGTAAGAATATTTTTTTGAAAATCTCCAAGACGGTGCAATTAGTACGGCAATAATTTTAAAGGAACAGTATTGGCAATTGTTCAACTTATGAGATCCGACAACTTAATGGGCTTTACTGTAAATCGGTGTCTGTCTAGCACAGCTCTCTTTATTCGCACCGCCACTCCACTCGTCCATCTGTGGCTGGCATTTTGTTTTGTGTGCAGAAAAATGCGGCTGAGTATTTTAGCAACATGCAAAAACTTCATTTCGTTTTGCGGCAGTGGTGGGGACGACTCTCGCGTCCAGTGTATTGACCCTCAAACCCGGTATGGCTGCCACACGCCAACGCCCTCACGTACATTAGTGACATGCTGGCAGCCTGACCTGGTCTAGTGGGGAAATGGTTGGTCGATGGTGGGTGGTGGGGGTATGGCCTGCCTTCCCCATGTATGTTTGTATGTTTGAGTTTTAGCCTTAGTGCTTGTCGCGGTTTTTCAGCATTTGCTCGCGTTTGTTTGCTTTGTGGCTTCCGGTTTTGTTTCGAATCCGTTTTACGGATAACTGCATAACCGCTTTAAAATATTTGCCACTACAGCTTTGGCTGTCTCTGCCTGACTGCCTGCCTGCCTGCCTGCCTGCTTGCCTGCTTGCCACACAATGCCCTGCAACATTAGCGTGGATTTATTGTGGCTTGGAAGTGCAACTTGAACTGAAAACAGAAGCAGAAACAGAAACAGAAAGAAAAACTGCAACACATATCGGGATTTTGGTTGCGCATATGTAAAGGTGTTATTAAAATTTTTGCACCAGCGCTTTAAATTATTTCCAACCAAGACCAGCGTGCTGAGTTTCAATTACGCACTTGCATTAAAATGTTTGCGCAACTGGCATTAAAAACATAATTAAGTGGTCGTAAAGTGTGCGGGGACCGAACAAATGAGCTGCCGGGGAAATTGAGGCAACCAGCACGTAAAAATGACACTGGCTGTATAAAAAAAGAAGAATATAAAGAATTAATTAAGTGACTGCCCGTGCGAATGCGGTCTGACATTAAGTTCAAGCGATTGACGAAGGTATTTCGAGATAAGCACACAAAGTTTCCACCCAGCAATGAAATTGCAATGTCATGTTACCGAAAAAAAAACAACTCGTATCCGCACAGTAGAGTAATCTGAAGTGTGCTTTAGTATGTAAATATGTGGGCAGCAAACACTTGCATGCTGTTATGGACCCTAGTTCAGTGAAAGTTAATCAAAATTCCTGAAAAAAATGCTGTAAACTAAAAGAAATTGAAATGATGACTGTTGATTATTATCCGGTTAAGCAAAATATGCTTTAGCTTTTTGATTCCCCATTAATTGTTTATGACTTTTAACAATCTATCCTTCCTTTCTATCTACTCTGTAAAGTTTTGCGACTGAGCATTAGCTTTAGCCTAGATAGGACTTCTTTAGAGGAAGTTATAACTAGAAGTTCAATCGGTTTTTATAAGCCCCAATGTAGAAGCTTAAGCAAGAAGTTTACTTCTAAATGATTTCTCAATGAAAACATCTAATCCGATTCTTCTTTGAAAAAAGTTAAGACTTAAAGCAGACCACTTATAAAGCTTTAGAATAAATATGTATATTTATTTCTATTTCATTTTCAAACATTCTATATTAAAACAACTCGACTCTAGGTATTTATTTACCTTGACTGGAGCCAACAGTGAAGTTATTAAATCCGCCAGCATAATGAAGGACACAGCTTAAGGGCAAATTTAAATGCTATACTCGTACCGACGCTAATAATGAGTTCTTTAATATTGCATTTTGGCAGACATGGAAATAAAGTAATTTTGAGCATGAGGGCAGGTGCTGAGCACCCGCGTGCGGTTAGTTTGAAAAATTAACGCGGAAATGCTAAAAATATTGTGCATACGCCCTGTTGGCCAGCCCATGCAAATTTCATATATTACCGAGCAGTCACACACACATACACACACACATACCCACAACATGAAGGGCTGTGGCTAGACAGAGGGAAAGTGTGGAGCGTCGACTTGGTTGCATGCTCGTCAGCAATAATTGCAACATGCCGCACACGTCGGCTGGATGGGGGCTAGAGGCATCGAATCGCAACCAAGTTAAACAAAAGGCTCAGAAGCGAGGCGCAAATGACAGCGACTACAAAAACAATAATAACAGTATGAAAAAATACCCAAGCACGAAAACAGCGTCAACTTCTGTAGTTTCATGTTTGTTGAACCAAAGTTCTAGAGGGACGGAGATTGGGTTTTAGATATTTAAGCAGTGATTGCAACAAACTTAAAGGCTGGGCTCAAGCCGTGCACAGTGGGTATTTCGTTTGAAATAATATGGAAAGTGTCTTTTAAATATATTTAATATGCTTTTCTTTAATTAATTAATACATTGTTTAACATATTGATATTGTATCAAAAAAAATATGCAGCTGAACTGTTTTAATGGTTATCTCTGACTGCCACAATCTTCAACTAGACTTTTTGTATTTTTCTTATATTAGTTTCACTTCCTTTCATTAAATCAAAGCTTAATTAGAAGGTGAGCACAGACAAAGTGCAATACATTTTACAAATGCATACTATTTTAACAATTTGTATACCAATTGAATATGTTGTCGACAGACAATTAGAGTCTTTTGTAAGAAGCAGAACAAATGTTATCCCTATACTACTATGTAGACATCATCACATTCTCCAACATTAAGTCCAACACTTAGTCCAACTCTAAACAGTACTTAAACACATAGACTTCTTTACATAATTGTCATTTCCATTGTACTTCAGCCGGTAGTGGCTTGACAACTTTCCATAAATGGCTTATAATTGTCAAAAATATAGTATGTTCTGCTCTTTTGTTTCGTATGCTTTTTCTTAGTTCGCTGCAGACTAAGATGAACATATACTTCTTAGTAATTGATTAGATGCATATAGCACACCACTTTAGAATTAATTTTAAAATATAAGTACTTATACTTTGTATTGCCTTCCACCGTTTCAAACTCCTACCTGCCATACAGTAAATCTCTATTCAGCAAGTCATGACCTTCATTTATATAAGAGTAGTTCAATTCAAATTGAACTTGCCCCACTGTGCGTCACTGGCCTTGCGTCTTTCGCCTGCTTGGTGCTGTTATGACTTAATGTCGCAACATGGCGTGGCGACGCCGACAAGTGACAGCCATGATGGAAGTACCCCACGGAAGGGCGACAAACAGCTTATTAATATGTCAGAAATGCAAAGTTTATGGCAGCCGCAGTGTTTACATTACATTCTATTTTGCTCACTCTCTGTCTCCTCTTCTTATATTTGCAGGCACACGGATGTTGAGGGCCCAGGGTACAGGGGAGGACAACTGAAGCGTGCGGCCGCCTAGATGTGCAGCAGCGCCCGCGGACTACTATGCAATGGCAGCGCCGAAACGCGACAAAGACCAGGACAACGATAGCGACAGCGACGACGATCCCAGTCACCCAAGAAGACGACGCAGGCGGTCGAGGGGAGTGCACGACATAGTCGACAATAATAGCACCCAGAGACGCACGAAAAAACGACGAAAGGCCAACCTGCCCAGTCTGCTCAATCTGCCCAGCCCGCTCGTACCGCTCGTCCAGCTGTTATGGCTGCTCTGCTGCCTCAGTCAGCTGGCGCACAACACCCGCGCCGACTGCCCGGCCGTCTGCGAGTGCAAGTGGAAGAGCGGCAAGGAGTCCGTCTTGTGCCTTAATGCCAACCTCACACAGATCCCATTGCCACTGGATGCGGGCACGCAGGTGCTGGATCTGAGCGGCAATGAGATTGCCACCATACCGCACGATAGCTTTGCGGCTGCCCAGCTCCTCAATCTTCAGAAGGTCTATCTGGCGCGCTGTCGACTGCGGGTCATCGAACGCCATGCGTTTCGGAAGCTCATTAACTTGGTGGAGCTAGATCTCAGTCAAAATCAGCTGAACGCCATACCCTCGCATGCACTGGAGTTCATATCGGAGCTGCGTGAGCTTAAGCTGAGCGGAAACCCCATCGCACGTGTACCAGACGATGCCTTTGAGCATGTGCCACAGTTGGTGCGTTTGGAGCTCAGCGATTGCCGCCTGGCTGCGGTGGAGGTGCGCGCATTCGCTGGCCTAGAGAGCAGTCTGGAGTGGCTGAAGTTGGACGGGAACCGCCTTAGCGAGGTGCGCTCAGGTACTATCACCTCGTTGACTAGTCTCCATGGTCTGGAGTTGGCTCGCAATCAATGGAACTGTTCTTGTTCGCTGCGTCCGTTGAGAGCCTGGATGCTGCAACAGAACATTCCCTGTGGTATTCCCCCGCTCTGTCATGCTCCCGAGCGTTTGGCGGGCAGAGCCTGGGATAAGATCGATCTGGATGACTTTGCGTGTGTGCCACAAATTGTGGCCACCGACACAACCGCGCATGGGGTCGAAGGTCGCAATGTGACCATGAGTTGCTATGTGGAGGGTGTGCCAGAGCCGGCAGTGCGATGGCTGGTCAAGAACCGAGTGATTGCCAATCTAAGTGCTGGCGGCGAACCCAGTGCAGGGCCACGCACCGCTGCCGCCACCCAAGGCCGCAAGACCTACGTAGTTAACATGCTGCGTAATGCCTCCAATCTAACGATACTCACGGCCGATATGCAGGATGCCGGCATATATACGTGTGCGGCCGAAAACAAGGCCGGCAAAGTGGAAGCCAGTGTCACGCTGGCCGTATCGCGACGCCCGCCCGAGGCGCCTCTGGGAGTGCGCATCGTACTGCTCGGAGTGTTGGCTGCGCTGCTTTTTGTGGTAGGCTCCTCGTTCGCAGCTATCTGTTTCTGCTCGCTGCGACGCCGACGAAAACTGCGGTTATGGAACTCTGTACCACCAGCACGCACCGAAAGCTACGAGAAGATTGAGATGACGGCAAGGGTAAGCGCGGGCGCTGGGCGACCGGACTTGGGAGGGGGCGCCAGCTGCGGCGGCGGTAGCGGCACTGGCGCCGGTCTCTTTCATGACGATGAGCACGGATATTTGCGCTCGGCGCACACGCCGCTCAATTGCGGCTCCGATGATGGCGGCGACACAGGTCATGCGGCCATTGTCAATCCCAGTGGCGGCGGCAGCGCGCGTCGCAATGGCGACTACCTGCATGTGCCAACTCATTGTGATGATGAGGGCACCGGCTATGAGGAGGACGATGTGACAGTACAGTCGTCGCAGCCGCAGAGCACCCGGAAGGCGTCAATGGGAGAGGCCACGACGACGACGACGATGACGCCGACAACATTTCCTGCGGGCGCTCGCTGGACGACGAGTCCACAGGATGCGAAGCGCCAGCCAGCAACCGCAGGCATCACCAATAATTCAGCAGCACCCGCACTGGAGGAAACGGATCTGCACATACCGCGGCTGATTGACATCGGCGGGTAAGTTGACACAGATACGCCAAACAAAGTAGCCATCGACCTACTCTCAAACACGCCTACCATCGCCATAGAGTTGTGCCAGCTAGTTCCCCATAGTTCAGTTCTTGTGTTTAATATTCACCTGTTTAATATTCGCCTACAAAATCTCTGACATGTGTAGAAGAAGAGCTAAAAGACTATTTCAATTAATTCCTACCAAATATCTAAAGAATTGTCAGTTACTGGCTGCAACACAAGCCGTTTTAATGCACAATTTTGTTTTGTAAATTGAATTTTTGTCTAATGGAAGCTAGGGAAGAACTAAATATGGTTTAGTTAACAAGCCACAAATCTCTTAGAAAACATTCTACAGATTATATGAATATGAAAAATAAAATTAAGTACGAGAAGTCAAAATGCATCGTCCAAAATAATAAAAAGGTTTTACACTGAAGCAGACTTTTAGTCAGGAAGTTGAAATTTTTAGTGACTAATGGGGACTCATTATTTATTTATTTGTTTATTTACTTATTTATCTTTTTTTTTTGTTTATTTATTTACATGCTTATTTATAATTTGTATATGTATTTTTAGATCAACAAACAATGAGTTGCGACATAAGGAAACATAATAAAAGTTATAAAAAAGCCAGAATATTAGGAAAGCTTAAGTAAGAGAAATCAAATCAAATTACAATATGCCCCTACTCGGTGGGGGAACATTATTTGCCCTTCGGCTGGTTATGTCCCGACTCACAGCCAAGATAAACTTAACAGAGAAAAAATGTGTACCAAAAAGGGGGGGAGGAAAGAAACCTCAGACTCAGTGACAATTTATTTACTCATTGATATATAAATACTTTCCCGCACATCTACATATATTTATAAACTGTTATTATAAACTATCACAATTTCCAAGCACAGCCGCCGAGCTAGTTCAAGTATTTCGAAAGTTCTTGAACCTCTTGCGATTTATATCACACGCCGACAACTCTAATGCAGACCTCCAATATACGTAGCCGCCTGTCCTCTGCCTGCATTTGTGGGCACACATATTTGTAGCTTTTGTTCTCTCGTTACTTCAAGTGGCAATTGTGTTGCCCCTGTCAAAGAGCTGTCATGCTCGTATTATGGGCAACACTTGACACTTGCCACTGAAGTGGCCTCGTCCTCGCCCCTGCCCTCTCTGTCTCTCTCTCGCTTCAGATGAGTGCGCGTGCTAATGACGCGTGATATATGCGCTGCCACATGGCGTATGAGTATTTTATTTTGGACATCCCACTTGGCATGCAGCCTTGATTTGTCGCCCCCTTCCATACAAACTTAATTACAACTGACAATACATTTGGTTCATCTTATATTTGCAGCAACGACTCTGCGTCTAGCTCCATCTCAAGCCAAGTGGATGCGGCCGCACGCCTAGCAGGCTATGCACAAGCTGCCGGCTGGAAGGCCACCACCATGCCCATGGCCACCACCAAGATAACCTCGCCCCACAGCAAGCAGGCGCAGACAGCGAAGGCAGCTCGTAATGGGGGCGGCTATTATGGCAACCCCGATGACATGGCCACCTCTGTGTTCTGTAGCAGCAATAGCGACGGACAGGAGCACGATCTCTTCGACAGCAACTATCCCGATCTGCTGGACATAGCCAAGTATGCGGTGGCACAGGCAGCCCAATCGAATCATGCCTATCATAACGCGTTGATGGCAAATGCAGCTGCCGCAGCTGCCAATGGCGGACTCTGCACGCTGCCGCGCAAACTGAAGCACAGTGGAAAGTACTTTAAAAACTCCTCTGACAGCCAGTCGCCACTGCTGGCAGACAACTCGAGCAAATACGGTAGCAGCATATTGGGCGACAGCAGTTTTCTCAACGAGGCCATGGGCTTGGGCAGACGCTATTCAGCGGAGTCCAGCTACGCGAACTATGCCAGCACAGCGACTTACACGAGTGGTCAGCGGTCGAACAGCTTTTTGAACCTGGTTCAGAGTGGTGTGCATAAAGGTGGTGGCAATGCACCTCACCAAAAGCTGACCAACGGTCTGCTGGCTGCCAGTCGGCGTAATCCCAGCCTGCCTTCATCACCCGTACATGAAATGCAGCAGCAACAACAGCAACTACAACAACAGCAGCAGCAGCAACAACATCAACGCTCGTTTAGCAGCGCAGCAACGCCACTGCTAGACTTCTCAGCACTGACTACACGCGCTGGCGGCGCTGTGCCTGCCTCCAGTCTGCCGCCTGCACCCCCCGTGGGTTCCTCGGTTGCCGCCTACGATTATCATGCAGCTCAGCTGGAACGATTTCTCGAGGAGTACCGCAATCTGCAGGATCAGCTGTGCAAGATGAAGGAGACTTGCGACACTATTCGCAAGAAGGAGGCACCTCTGCGCGTACCCCTCGGCCAGTCGGCACAGCTGGCAGACCCTGTGATGTTTAATGCAGCCATGAGCGGGGGAAGTAGTGGCGGCATTGGCGGGCCACACAGCCCCAAACCGCCAACTACTTTAAAGACGAAAGCTTTGTTACCAGGCCAGCCCCCAGATCCCCCACCCTACTGGCTGCATCGCAATGCCATGTTCAAGCGGCTGAACGAAAATAGCGGCGGCAGTGGGAGCGGTCTGGGTGGTGCTTCAACGGGCGCCTCCTCGCCACAGCCTGGACAGGACATTTTTAAGAGCTAATGGAATTCGTGTACAGTTTTTTTAAGCATTGACATCTCAACAACAATTACTCGCATTTTCTAGATAGGCTAGTATTTAGTTGGGCGGGAGGCGACCAGATTTCGTCCACCCAGACCCATCTGTTGTATTATAGAGACACTTTTCCACTCTTTCTACTCGCTATGATATTTAAAACATTCATTACATGTAAGTGTATAGGCAAACACAAACTCATATTACACTATCTCGCAGGGGGTTGTTGATATTTTCTGTATTACAAATATTTCATTCATTTCAAACTTTGTATACCCTGTACTGAATGATGAAAGGGTGTACCAGATAGATCTAAAGCTAAATGTATGTAGCAGACAACTTGCTATGTAACGCTCTTTTTTAAATATATTTTAAATTTGGTATTTCTATCCCTCACTATATCATAAGATAATAGGAAGAGGTATTCTGTTCTACCTTCTTTTCTTACCCAAAGCTAGGGCTTACCGAACCTTGCGAGCTGAATTAATAATTGATAGTTGGAAATCGCTAACCATAATAGATCAGACAGATATCGAACAACTTTGACTTACTCTAGAGCACTACTTATGTTTATTGTTCTTTATTTTATCCTGAATCTCAAATTCTGTTCTTCTTCTTCAATCGATATCAGCAGCCGCAGAACTACACACAGCTCCCTCAATCACCAACACACACATAAACCCACGCAACACACACACACACATATCACTTTAAGCTCTCGTGTTAGTCAAACTAAAGTGTTTTTGTACTTTAAGCGATCTCATTATAAAAACAAAACATAGTGAAAAACAAAAGATAAATCTAAATGTAAGTTGCATCAATTTGGCATAGACTGTATACATGCATCACAGGCAAATGGATTGGTTGATTGATAGTTTGACTGACAGCTTGACTGACAAATTGTTTGTTGCCCTCTCGGGTCAAGATTGCTAAAACTTTATAAGTTTGGGGGCATGCGCCAAAATCAAGATTGGATGCGACAAATGCAATGGAGGAAAATGCCAATTAAATAGTCATGAAGCAACTCAATTCAATAAAATTGTATTTACAACAATAACAACAACTTATTTTAGGGTGTCACTACTAAAACTAAAACTAAACAACAAAAGCAATTCACCCAAAATCAACAAAAACAAAAAACATTGAAATGTAAACAAAATAAATTAGTTGAAAATTGAAAACAAGAAAAAAATAATAAAAAAAAAGAAACAAAGCTGTTTTTAATAGCTCGGGAAACGTGAGCAGGTGAGATTCAATCGACAGCAATTAGTTGGTGAACGTGGCACAACGCGTTTGTGCCCTGCAAATGTTTATTTCCGGCACACCCAGAATGTAGCGCTGCTATTTGGCCGAACAACGCCATGAAGTGGGGATGGGGTTGCTCTAAGATAATTGCGACCTGCCATGCGACAATGGCCATGGAAATGGCGATGGTAATGGCCACAGTTGTGGGTATGGGTGTCGGTGTCGGTGTCGGAGTGGGTGTGACTGGTCAGCTATGAATGAGCTTAAGTTATAATTTCATAGATTAAAAACGCTACAAACATACACTCACACAAACAGCCAACCTCCAGCCAGCAAATCGAGCAATTGGCTTGCAAAAATGGCGACAAGCTATAATTTCTTTTATTTTCATTCGCTTCGCATTTGCCTCAAAATAAAGTTGTAAAATGCAAATGAAGTGAAGCCTCTGACATTGTCGTTCTTGTCGTCGTCGTCGTCGTCATATGCGCGCCAAAGTTCATGTTCGAATTGATGTCGCCATAAAGCAGGATTAAAGCAAATTATGAACCTTTGACACGGACTCAGTGGCAACGTGATAGCCGTTTTATACCCACACACACACACACCCACACCCCGAGCGACAAACACGCCCCACAAAGCCCCATCTGTGTGAACATTTAGTTACCCTGCCAATGAAAATTATGACTTGCTTTTGGGTACGCGTACTTCAGAGACTGAAATGGGCGTGGTAATGAATTCGCAAGTCAACAAAAGCGGCAAGAAATCCACTTCCAAACTAGAACATGTGACTGCTCTCTTCAATCCAAATAACTTGTAACTGTTCCAAAAGGTATTACTAAATTAAAGAAAACTAAATATATGTATACTATCAATGAGATTTGTAAATTAAAGTGGAATTTCTATATGCATAGTTTGCGTTTAAGGGGGAATTAGACAAAATTTGTTTGTTTCTTAGATTTTAATTTTGTATAGCATACTTTTAGGGGTTGCATTATAAATCGACGACAATGGATTCCCGTCTGCTATTTTGTTTTGTGTATCGTAAACAAAAGTTATATAAAGTTATTACAGCCATATCTTTAAATGCAAAGCAACAATAGCAAAAACAAACATAAAATGCTTATAATCGAATAATTACCCCAGATACTCTATAATGATCAGTTCTCCTAATATAAGCAACAGAAAGGGGCTCTAAACATGCTGCAGTGCCTTAAATAAGGCGACTATAAATTAAAGCAAACACAAATTGCAATATCTTTCTGCTTACTAGTGGTGAGAAGGAAAGTAGTGCATTATCCAAGTCGGGCATACTCAAAGTGTGCGGCCACTTTTTCCAAAACCACATACTACCCACTTACGTGTGTATGTTTGTACTTTGTCACAGATATTATGGTTTATATTTTAATGCCACAAAATTATGGTGTGTTTGACTGATAAAAGTGCCTGTGTTGCCAGGGTTATGAATTTTAGACACGCATCTCAGAGCAGACGATTTAAAGCACCACCCAGAACGGATATGGAACCGAAATGTTTTCTCCAAGCGCCAAAGGCAAACAAACAAGTGGAGTATTAAATGGGCGCGGCAAGCTCTTTGCGGGTTGCCTTAAAGTGCCTGTGCCCGTGCCCGTGCCTGCGCCTGTGGTAGTTGCTGTGCCTCTGTTGGCTGTCCGGCCCAAGCGAAATGAAAATAATGAGCAGCAGCTGAAGATTGTTGGTGAAGAAAGGCGTGGGGAAGACGGAAAGTGGCGTAAGCGTGCAAAAGTAAAAAGCTGTGCAGCAAAGTTCATGTCAAGCTGTCAGTCAAGGTCGATTTCGTTTGCGTCAGGCGCGGATAAGCAAAGCAAAGCAACCAGCCACGTAGCTACCAATATAGTGCGGGCAGTGGCAGTGATGGAGGCAGCGCAAAATGGTGGGAGAAGGAGGGGAGGGAAAAGCATTCTGGCAGTTGCATTCATTTTGTTGGCAAGTGCCTTTTTGTCACTGTCGCTTGCATGTACATGCATGTGTAGGTGGACCACACAGGAGCAGCTTAAGAGATGAGGAGCGGTGGAACGCGGCATGTGCAATTTTTATGTTCATCACATGTGTGTGTGTATTAATGTGTGTGTATGCCAACGTAGTGGGAATTTTTCCATCATTATCAGTGTCCTTGTGGTCGTTTCAACATGCCACTTAATGCCGCTGCACGTGCGTCCCACTTTTGCCTGCCACGGCCTTTGTGGTTGCGCACAATTGCACGCTGTGGCAGGGATGGGCGGCCTGCCACTGGCCCACCTCCCCCATCCTCGTACGTTGTCGCGACCAACTGCCTACCTTCTACCGCCAGCGTCACCATCAGCTATTATATTCAAGCATTTTTGTGCATAAGTTGCTGCGTTAGTGGCAGGCAGCTGCTCCATCGCCAGGCTTTTCATCTACCTGCTGCCTGTTTCGTTTGTTTTAGTCCTGTTGACTGGCTCTCATGCCTCCATTTTGTGCACGTCCTTGGCGTCGTTGTCCTGCAGCTGCCGCAATTCTTTGTCGAGAAGCAGCAACAAAACACCAAGAGCGCCATAGCTTTTATTCTTTCAATTTCAATATTGGCAATCGATATCCGTATGTATGTATCTATGTGGATGCTGTGTTTGCTAATAGCTGGGGCCGCGACAACCAGGGCTTCCAGCTGCTGACTGCGCCTTCCTGCTCCTCCCCTATTCCTGTGTCTGCTGTCGTCTATTTTAATGGATGTTGCATTACTTTGCGGCAAGCCTTGTAAAGCTGCAAAACTTTTCCGGCGCGTACGAAAATTGAAAAATAGTTATTCGGTAGTTTTCCCAACTAACAAAAAAGCAAGAACAAAAATGAACAAAATGTATCCAGTCGTCTCCATCTAGTACAAGGAATCCTGCTCAGAGTTGTAGCTTAAGTTAATAGCCAACCATTTATTGATTAGCCAACGATGCGCAAATGTCAAAGCGCCAAGGCAGCGGATTGCTTCAATTACCTTTAATTCCAAGCACATACACACGCACACACACACTCACAGTCTGAAAACCACAAGTTCAACAAGTCAACGAGGCCATCAATGTGAAATATGCTTCCGCTACTTCTACACCATAGTACGACCTTTCAATGTGCCTGCGGTTAGGCGGCAAGGACGTTTAGCATAAAGCAAGAGCTGCAGTGTCACTGCCACGCCCAAAGATGCGACGCCATCCATACCCTCCCCGCCACAGCCACAGCCACAGCCACCGCCTTCCGTAAGCCGTTCAGCCAAGCAGACAAAAAATAGTTCGCTTTTAAGTGCAAACTGCTGTAATGAGCGCGCTGATAATTCATTAAACAAAGCTGAGAAACAGTGGTGGCAGTGGCAGTGGGGAAAGCAACGAAAACTATCACAAAATGTCAAGGATAATGCGCGCATGCCGGAAACGAGAGTGTGCGACATTTTGGCATAACCACAGCTCAGACTGTTTCTGGTTTACAGTTTGGAATTAATTATGAGGAAGCTTATGAAAACATGAGAATCAATATGGGGCTATGCTGTTAAAAAAAATAAATGAAGGACCTGTAAAAATTAACATATGGGAAATGTTTAAAAAAAAATTACATAAATTAATATAATAAATAATAAATATTAAATTAAATAAATAAAAACATCGACTCATCATCTCTTTTTCTTTTCGTCCCTCTCTTTCCACCTTTCTATGTTTCTCTATCTCTCTTTCCTTATTTCTTTTTTTCTTTCTACTTCTTACTTTTTC